TGTATATATATTGAACAATAAATCGGTGATCGAGTTCAAATTCGAGTCGAGTTCGTTACATTTCCTGAGGTGCAAATACATTTGGGCAGGTAAGTATACATCCCCTCCTGTTCCCCCGGCTATGGGTAGAGAGTTGATTTAGAATGAAATCTACCAACTGGCAATGTCTCCCCATACATGAAACCCAACAGAAAATACGTGAATGTAAGATGCAACCACTCTGCAAATATAATAAAGCAAATCCCGAAATGAATAGAGAACTTGAGTAAAATAATTTTCGAAGCTAAAAAGAAAGAATATAAAAGGGATTTCAAAGAAGACAGGCATAAAACCAAACTAGACTTTAAACCTCAAATAAGACAAACAAATTAAAAACAATTCGAGGAAAAGAAAAACAAAATATTTGGTTTTAACCCCGCCTTTTAACTTAGAGGTCAAGTGTAAAATAAGGAATATATTTTTCAAATTATTTAATAATCTCTTCCACAAGAAATTCTTAATTACGTAAAATATTTAATAAAAACATAGTTAAATTAAGCTACAGCTGCACTCCTAATTGAGAAACCATAATAAAAATACAAAACGACAGAAATTTCAAAAATAATGTGCAGTAAAACATTGTTAACAGTAATATAAGCAATTGTAGAGATAAAAGCAGATGTCCGTTAGATGAAGTTTGCAAAACTGAAACAGTAATTTACAAAGCAGAAGTCATAAGCAAGCAAAATACACGGGGATAATTTTAAAAAGCGTTGGTACAATCATAAGTCATCTTTTAAGCTATAAATCCTTAGAAATTCTAGTAAACTAGCCAACCATATGTAGAAATTAAAAGAGAATACATAAAGATCCGATTGTAAACGGGAAAATTTTTAAAAAAGGCAAAACCTTGCAACAATCATAGCAATATCTGCAACCTTTGTCAACAAGAAAACTTGCTATAAAAATAATTTCAGATCCCAAAAAATCTTTTGAAGCAGAGACCGCAAATTATGACCCGTTGTAATATACTAAAAAAGTTCCTCTTGAGTTCATCTGAAGTGGGATTAGAAGAACGTACATATATTCCATTTAATCCCATACCGATACGTTTCCAATATACTTGATTTTACCCGGCTCATCTTCCTACCCCTCATCTTCTACTAAACCTTACGTTGTGCGCTTATTCATTCATTTATTTATTTTTTTTAATATAGAGAGTTGCCTGAAGATACCGAAAGGTTTAAACTAATGTAGCGAATCGGTTGATTATATATATATATATATATATATATATATATATATATATATATATATATATATATATATATATTATGGGTTGTTCTATTGTATTATTCTAACAGTTATTTTTAGGTTTCAAATTATTTTAAGAGATATTGAGTGGAAATAATTATTGATTCGAATGCATGATTTTGCTTTTTATAATGTTGTTTATTAGCTTTTTACTCATATGTTATTGATTATTTTATTATTTCTTGTCAGTTGTTATTATTAGGTTTACTTGTATTTATGTGTGCGATCGTGGTTTGCTAATTTGTTTATTATTTACTTAGTTTATTTACCCATTTATGGATTTCAATGAATTTATTTTAATTATTTACTTTTACTTATTTATTTACTCATTTTCTAAATTCTATTTATTTAATTACATAGTTTTCATCGTATTATATTTGCTTGTTTTTAGCTTTCGAATTTAACAAACGTAGTACACATCTGTTTTCGTGCCTGCATTTTGAGATAATCGTTTATTTAATTGGTGTGGGGAGGTAATTTTAACTATTATCTCCTACAGACAGATTTTATGTTTTGGAATATCTGTTGCAGGTTGATGCTGTTTTTTCTTATTTTCCATGATATTTCTGGGTTGATTTGGTTTTTGTTTTTAATTTCCAATGCATGTATAGAAAGCATTGCGCTGTTTGTGTATTTGCTATTTGTAAAGAATGTTTTGTTTGCGTAGTTTCTTTGTTTCCAGTGTTCTTCAGTTACTCTTATTTTTCGTTGTCTGCTGATGTTACAGTGGCTTTTTATAATACATTGTTCTGCAAGCAATTGCCATTGAGGGGGCATTCATTTTTACCTTCATGTTCCACGAGATGTTTAGTTCTCCGGGTTGTTTGTTGGTTATTTTTCTGTTGCGTTTTTTTTTATTATTTGTGTCATGTTCTAGCTGCAACTGTTACTGATTTTTCTATGTTTTTTGTTGAATATTATGTATTTTGTTATCACTTTTGTGCATGGGTTAAGTTAATATTTTCCTACGTTTGCTTTTACGTTATTGTGATACGGTGGATTTAACTATATGACGTTTCTTTTCAGGTTTGCTTAATTGCGTTGTGTGGTGTGCATGTAGTGTTGCCGAAAATCCACTATCATTTAGGTATGTCTCATAATATTTTGGAGCTGCATTGTAGAATGGTTCCACTGGAAGGAATGTCAGAAAACCTACGATCAATTGATTGGGGGATCTGCTTGATGATTGCTGGTGTGTAGTTAGAACACGCGCATATATAAATTTGTTATTGCGTTTTCTGTGTGTTTGATTTGGAACTTTCACTAGATTAAATTTACTTCTTGGAATGTCCAATGATTTTTATTTTGTTTCTGTTTGTTTTTATTTATTTGCTTTTTTTTATTTGTTCTTGATGTAAGGAGATAGCCTTATACAGCATAGGTCCTATTACAGAAGGGTAGAAATCTTTTATATCTAGTTGTATAAAATGGGAATTATGCTTTTTAGTTTGCGGAACCAGTATATATTTATTTCTGTGTTTTCCACTGCTTTTTTCTTTACTCATGGCTATTTTCTTAGCTTAGAATTGCTTAAGCTTAATTATATTATTATCTTATTTATTTATTGTGATATATTTATAGTATTATCTTATTTATTTATTGTGATATATTTATAGTATTATCTAATTTATTCATTGTGATATATTTATAGTATTATCTTATTTATTTATTGTGATATATTTATAGTATTATCTTATTTATTTATTGTGATATATTAATAGTATTATCTAATTTATTTATTGTGATATATTTATAGTATTATCTTATTTATTTATTGTGATATATTTATAGTATTATCTAATTTATTTATTGTGATATATTTATAGTATTATCTTATTTATTTATCGTGATATATTTATAGTATTATCTAATTTATTTATTGTGATATATTTATAGTATTATCTTATTTATTTATTGTGATATATTTATAGTATCATCTTATTTATTTATTGTGATGTATATATATATATATATATAATATTAACTTACATATTTTACCTAGTTCACTTTTGGTTGAGTTTATCAGTCTGCATGTGCATGTAGGGTTTCTGAAATTTTCTTTGTGCTCTTTAACTGAGATAAATGCTTGTGATTTAGCGATGCAATTTTTCCGCTCTTCTAGGTCTAAAGTTAGTCGATTATATTAGTGTCGATTATAATATATTTTTTGTTGTATAGTTTTATATACAGGGTATCCATAAATATCGTGTGAACTTTAAAAATTTATAACCTTATTTGCATTTGCGATAGAAATAATCTGTAAAAAATGTTATAAAGTTTAATGTACCTAGTTTTAAGTATAGCTAAAATAACTAATGTGATTTCAGGCATTACTCTAAATCAGTTGGCAAATGTTCTCCGTAAACTACAAAATCGTATTACCCTTTGTATTGCTGATGATGGAGGACATGTGGAAACTTAAATAAAATTTTAATAAAACCTTAAAAAATGTAGATTTACTTCTTTCTAATCCTTTTTAGAAATTATTTCTATCGCAAATACAAATAAAGTTATAATTTTTTTAAAGTGCACACGGAATACACCCTGTATTATTAAATGGATTGAGTCTGACAATTACTTAATACACTTTCTGCTCATACGTTAATTTTATAAATATAATTTATTTAATTAAAAACAGAGCATTTTCATAAATAAATTAGCTTTGCAGATCCTTTAAAAAAAGGATCACAATTTGGCAAATAAGCTTCCAGTTGTATGGCTTCTTTTTGGAATTGACAGCCTTCTGCTATCACAGGGCGCTGTGTGGAAATGATAAAGGGCCGTTATCTTTTCAGTTGATTAGAGGCAACAACTTTTCGCACATTCAGCAACACAAGAATTAGTATTAACAAACAGAAATATTTATTTTAGTTCAATTACAGCGAAATAAATCGTTAGAGCTAAAAAAAAATGACCCAGAAGTTTCGGAAGGTTAGCATTCCGACCGTGAAACACAGTCTCGAATATAACTGTAGTTGATTTATCAAGGAAGAGAACATTGAAAATATCAGACTTCGCAGACAACAATCATAGCGTGCAAGATCTTGTTGACCATGTTATGGAACATGGGTAGATGGAATTGGTAGCATCGAGTGTTTGCACGGAGTGGCCCTGTACTAATTCTGATAAGATCCGTTTATGCTCACTATTCCTCTCTCTCTCTCTCTCTCTCTCTCTCTCTCTCTCTCTCTCTCTCTCTCTCAAAGAAATCGTAAGCAAGGTTTGTTCAGAAGCCAAGAAAGCAATGAAGTACCTAAGAAAACGAGGAAAAATATTTTAAACAGTTTAACATTTAAATGGCATATCGAAGGCAATTGAAGCAATAAAAATATGCAATCAAGAACCTACTTGACAAGAGAGGGCAAATAGACAGAGAAATAAATGTCCCAATTACAAATAGGGGGTCACCAAATTATAATTATTATTTACTGCAAAAGGAAACGAGTGGGTAACTGTGGATAGTGGACTGCGGCTTACATACTGAAAAGTGCAAGTGAGAGAGAGGGAGAGAGAGAGAGGGGGGGAGGTCGTTTGCTTAAACAGTGTATTAATATGCATAGATGTTGGTGCATTTGGATGAAAAAGAGAAATCAGAAAAATTAAATAAAATGAAAGAAAAAAGGAATGAAGGAAATCAATAATATAAGTTTAATCAGAAAGAAAAGTGAAAAAAATAACGAGGAAAAAAAAGGCAAACTTAGGAAAAATTAAAACAAAATATTAAGGAAAATAAAAAAGTGAAATTCGATGAAGAAAGAATGTGCAAGAAACGAAACGAAAGTGGAAGAGAGGAAGAAAGAAAGTTTAAGTAAAGAAAAAGAAGTAAAGAAAAGTAAATAAACAGAAAGAAAGAATAAATGAATAAAAAAGAAATAAAGAAAGACTAAATAAATAAAAAAGAAGTAAAGAAAAATAAATAAAAAGAAAGAAATAGTAAATAGTTAAAAAACAGTAAAGAAAGACTAAATAAATAAAAAGAAATGAAGAAAGACACAATGAATAAAAAGAAATAAATAAAAATAAATTTAAAAAAGAATAAATAAATAAAAATAAATGAAAGAAAAAAATAAAAATAAAGACAAGATAAATAAAAAGAATGAAAGTAGCATTTAATAAATAAATCAAAAGAAAGAAAGATTAAAGAAATAAAACGAAATGAAAAAAAAAGATAAAAAGAAAGATGGTGCGAAGGATGAATACTGAAAGGAAGGAGTTTAAAAGAAAAGGAGAAAAAAGTACCGACTGACTTTAGGGATATTGAAGATTTACAAATGTGTCTGAGTTGGCATCTGCAAAAGAGATTAGTCTCACTAACAAAACAAGGAATCGTCTGCATTTAGAAAACATGATTTATAATATTACTTATTAAACTTGGTTTACAATTTATTAAGGTAAAGTGTTTTTACCCATTCGACAGATTTTTATTAAGTTAAACATTAATTAGTTAATGAGTATGATGATAAACTACATCCACATCCTGGCTAAGACGATAAACTACGTCCAACAGCAAGGCTTCTGATCAGGAGGTTTTGAGGTGCGTGGAACCACCTCTCAATTGGTGGTGTTCCCAGGACTAACCTGACCTTTGGGTGGTAGCATCTGTTAGAGTTCCAGCTATGGGCAAATAGTTAACCCCACCAAACTGTGGTCAAAACACTATGTACGTGTAAAAATAGCTTTTAATACCTGGATTACTTTGTAAAACAATTATTGAAAAAAAAAGTATTACCAACGAAACATTTTTGAAAAGAGAAAATTATCAGCGATACATTTTGAAGAAAAAATATTACCAGATATAGATTTTTTGAAGGAACAATTATTCCAGCAATGTATTTTTGAAAAGAAATATTACCAGCAATAAAAATTGCCTGCATTAAATAACCCATTGAGGTGTTGATATGCTGTAAAACAAACCAAACCAAACCAAACGTTAGTTAGTGGTTATATATTTAAGTAGACACTCCATCAATTTATTAAACAGACAATTTATTTATTTTCATCTACCGGCCTGAAAATTCGAGAAATCTTAGTAAAGAAAAATATCTGCTTCACGGAAGCAAACGAACCTGTCTCCCTCTCGACAGACGAGAACCATCGTTAGCTCGGACGTGCCTTAACTGACACGTCTACGCGTCTACGGACCATCCATGCGGATAATGCAAAAGCTGAAACGTGCCTTTCAGTGAAATTCTTTTCGATTTAAATTACTCGAAATTTTCATATCTGCTATGCTGAGTAGTGAAACGTAAACTAAGTAATTTTCTAAGATAATGTATTTTTATTTATCAATCTGGCGGTAGACGAAAATAAATACTGTAGCCTAAGAAATTTTTTTTTAGCCGAGAGAAAGAAACTACATCCAATTTCAAAATTTGATTACGTAATCCCTATTCAACATAACTAAAACGTATTTGGAACTAGTATGGAGTAGGTCCTCTGTGGCACCATTTACCAAGGCAGAAAAAGAAAAGAAAGGAAAGAAAGGAAAAGAGAGGCGAAGACCCAAAGCGTGGATGATAAGCAGAACACCCACGGCTAAGAGACAATGGATAAAGGATATTTTGATAAATAACAAATGGCGAAGAGTGTCATTAAAATGAAAAAAAATTCTGAGTGGATAAAGGAATCGGGTGTGTTCTGACGACGGGCTGTGTTATTGGGATACATAAACAAACCGCTAATGCGGGAAGGCATCTGATTGGCAAACCACAGACCGACTAGCCAAAGAAAAATCCAAATGAAAATGTTATTTTGATAAGTGACGAAAAACAGGTGGACTACAGGGCTTTGGATAGATATGAAAAATTAATTGTGTCAAAATCCGCACACGAGGTGGCCACTGACCGATTTCTTTCGACAGAACATCTTTAGCCTGCGATAATAAAACTATGTTATCAGAAATGTGGACCGAAAAAATGAATGGGAACCTAGAAATGTTTCTTTTCGAGGCGACGGTCTGGCCGTGTTAAAAAGACTACCCATTCTGATAATTAGCGATAAGATTACTGACGAAGCTCAGGTGAGAACAAGAGTTATGACCACCATCGTTCGTATTGTTCTGTTTGCGGCTAGGGAAAATAATAACTGTGATTAAAAGAAAGAAAAGGAAAAGAAAAAGATAATTTTTTTTGTTAAGCAAGATATTTTTTTTTTCCTGAAACAAAGCTGCGGGATCGTACACACCCGACTAGACATCATTGGTCGAGTGGTGATCACGTGCCGCACGGAGGAGGCTGTCGCCGCCCATCTAGAGGATGGGTATGAGAGGTTGATACCAAGAAGTGGGAAGGGCAGTTCACGCCCCTCTGAAGTATGGTCAGAAGGTGGGAGTAAGAGAAGGCTCCCCAAAAAATGGAAAAAAAGTGGAAAATTCCTAACCAGAAATAAAAGAGGTGGATATATATTTAGAATTATCGAGGACCCCCCGGCGCCGACAAACCCACCCTGGTTTTGGTCGGCGTCCATATAAGCGAAGTCGCAGCGAGCAGAAATCAGTTCGAGTTAGAGTTTCAGTTCCAGTTCCAGCAGAGAGCTCGAAGTTCGCAGTGGAAGTTGGTTCCACCTCGCAGATAGCTGACTTGAAAGATTCATGCAAATTCCGGACTCCGCTTCAATCCAAGAACAATTAATTTGAAGAGCGACTTAGATCCAGACCACCAAAATAAGTTTTTTTTTTCGACTTTCGCCCGAAGACACACCGAAAACCCATTTCTTAAAGAGTTAAAAACTTAAAACGCCTAACGGAAAACAACGTGTCACAATCCATAGAACGGATCGGGAAATAGACGCAGTCCTATGTATCCAACAACTAGACATAAAGTTTGTTATCCTTTTTTTTGATACCTTGAATTTTTAAGTTATCATTTTATTTTCTTTTATGCATATTTGTGCGGTGTCACCCCCGTTTGTACCCGATTTGCATTACGGCCTCAACTACTGATTGATCACGTCTGCCTAAGATCAATTCACAACGTGGGTAGGAAGACTGGAGATCAGTGCAGTTACTTTGGTAACCAGGCGTTGGAAGCGAGTTGGGAACGATGAGGCTGATATCGAATCTAACCAGATTCCCATCCGAATCACAAAAAGGTTAGAACGTCACATTTGGATGCCGCGACTGATACCAAGCCAGTTGGTCGTCACAGGACGAGACAACACGACTGACGCGACAGGCGGACGTCACGTTTGGAGCGGCGACACCCGAACGGAGCAGCGAGGAGCGAGCGAAGGCTTCGTTTAAGGACGTCACAGCTGACGCCGCGACCAAAGGACGTCACACTCTATTTGCTAGTTTCAGTGCTTGTATTCGATTTTTTTCGTGAATTTAATCAAGTTATCAAGAATCGTCTGATCCATATTTTGCCACTCCTATAGCAATGTTTCTTTAAGGGTTGCTACAGACGTGATTTTGGTTGCACGCTGTCTAAATTGAGGTATATCATTTGTCTTTCATATTTCAGCGTTCTGGGTTTTAACTAACGGTGTATATAATTACTTTCAGGGTGTTTAAGGAGGTGGACCTTTTTTTATTGGCAATTGACGTTCTCGTCTTATCGTGAATTTCAGAGTAGACCATACGGTGGAGATGTGTTTATCAGTTATGTATGGAGATGTGGTTTTTATTGGTCATTATCGTTTTCGTCTCGCCATAATCTTTCGTGTTTTACATGTGAAATACATCGGTACTTGAAGGCTGGGTAGGAAAAGGTATTTTTATTGGTCGTTACCGTTTTGGACTCATCATAAAGTCCCGGGTTTTATAGACGGAATCGGCATCGGCTCGTAGATCAAAGAAAAAGTTACAGACACGTAATATAGATAAAAAAAAAACATGTTCAATTTATTTATTTGTTTTGATTTACGATTTATTCATTCTTATTTATTTCAATTTTATTATTTTTTGTTTATTTAACCACCCACCCCCCCATCTATAAAATGTCGATCTCATACAGATAGGAGCTGTCATATCGATGCTCTATATGACGTCCATCTCGTTCAGAAATATCTAAACTATCAGCTATATACAGGGTGGTCTGAAAGTCTTGTCACCCTGGCCCCCGCTTCTAAACTTTAGAAGTTTGTGTCAGCCATCTGAAATAGAAAATTATATTATTAGGTTGGTGCAAAAATAATGACGTAATAATGTCGTTTTTTGACGTTAAAAAATACGTCAAAAAACGACATTATTACGTCATTATTTTTGCACCAACCTAATATATAGTTGGTGACAAGACTTTCGTACCACCCTGTATAACCTTTTTCATAGATCAATGATTACGAATTGCTTCAAGCGAATGAGTCCAGTCGAATGTCATTCATCGGAACTCATCATCTGGCGCTACAGAATCGCAAAGAAATTTGCCAAATAAAATAAACGTCATCACTTGAAAACTTTCAACAGCTTCAACAATTAATATAGCCCTATATGTAAATCATGAGATATTTAAGATACTGATCTTTTGCATTAAGCGTTAAGAAAGAAACTCCTATCAATGATAAAATTAGCAATAACGGTAAAATTGTGAAAATTTATTTTCCTTAAAAAATATTTTAGGGGATTTTTTTTTTATTTTGAGTCATTTCACCCCATGCAAGGAATTAGAGCTACTAAGATACAAGGGGTTACTGAGTGCAAAAGTATAAAAAGAAGGAGAAATAAGAGTTAGAACAGAGTAAAAGTAATCAGGAAGAGAGTAGATAACGATTGACACTACATTTAAATTTATTAATATCAAAGTTGACTGGAAAACATAGAGTCGGAAGAGCGCTCCACAAGTGACGAATGCAAGGAATAAACCTCATCCGAAAAATTGCCATGAAAATATTTGTTGAGAAGAAGCCATGTTACGTCGATGAGAATTTGACAGAAGTCAAGATATTAGGTTTGGATATTTTAAAATTACAGACCCTTCTTTGGACTTTGTTGAGAATCTAGAGATATGTATTAAGAGCACCAGACGAGATATGGCCGTAATATTCAACGGACGCACGAACGCATAAATTTTTAAATATGCACGATGGATTCTGACGAGAAAAATTGTCTGTTGCGATACAGTAAACCAACATCCCCAGCGGTAGATCTCGCACTCGATGAGAACGAATAATGTGACCCCAGGTAAGTGTAAAAATTTGCTCTTCTGGATTTTAACACCAGTCATGCTACTGGAAGGTAGAAAAAGTTCTTTGTGGTGATTAAATGAAAGCAATTAGATGCACATCCTTTCAAGATGGATTTCATTACGCAATCTGTTAAGAACGTTTGGATTAAGCTAAATATTCTTTCAGAGATACCATAGTCCTTAAGCTAGTGTAATAGGCCGGTATGCCTAATCTTGGAGAACGACTTCAAGATATCTAACGCCATAGTTAATGCCTCTTGGTTCTTATCTGAAACGTGGTAGACAAATTCAGTAATAACAGTTAACACATGGTAGACCTGGAGAAACAAAAACCATATCTTATTCTTATATATAAAGTATATATATATATATATATATATATATATATATATATATATATATATATATATGTGTGTGTGTGTGTGTGTGTGTGTGTGTGTACAAGCAACTCCTCCGCTCACACTTGTCTCTTTTCAATGATTCTGTTGAAACTTGACTAATGCATGGAATAATAATGCAACACAAATGTACTTAGAACAAAATGTATTGAAACAAGAAAGTGTACACAATATTTACATATAGTCTTTTTGTATATTCCTGGTAAGACCGTTCCTGGAGAATGCGTTGACTGAGTCGCAGTCGGGCAGAGTCTCTGGTTGAATCTCTTGATTCCTCCCTCTCTTCCCGGTACCAACCATATTTATATGGTCGGTACTCCACTATGCAAATTAGGTGGATCCTACCACAACAGATTCATAGTTCAATTAAAAGCTCTACAAAAGTTAGGCACAGAGAATGATTTTCGTTGAGCTCAGATTCATGTTTGCCAGATTATGCGAGGTTAATTTTCTATATTAATATATTATACTAGCCATTATCGTTTCTTTCATAGTTCAAGTGGAGTAACTCTTATTGTCATTCTGTAACCACAATTGCAGATAGCTTAAATTTTAAGCTAGCTTAAAAACGGCACTATCTAGCGGCATTTAATCTACCTACTAAAGAGGACTCTTGGATTGGCCATCATCACAATAGCTAGAGAGGAGTAGATGCGATATGCATCAATAAACTACAGAACTCAAAATTGATCGATGCATTTAAGAAATGAATTAATGTTTAAGCTTATCTTTTAAAAGTTCAAGCGGATTTATGAATAAAATGATCATTTAACAGTTTTGTTTCAAAGATTTCAAATAGGGAATATATTTTACTTTGCGAAGCGATGGTGAGCGGGCGAAGCGTGCTAGTTATTTATGTTTAAAAAATTCGGCCTTGATTAGAGTCTCTAGTACATTGTTACAAAGACGTAGAAGGGTAGTAGGGTAATAATTCTAGGGATCAGAATTTTCACCTGAGTGCTTAAAGACTACTGTACTGTACTGATGCGGCATTCCCCCTGGGCGGATTGAGCCGGCTTCTTCCTGTTATGAGAAGAAGATTCTTGGGATAAATTACAGAAGTAGGGTACCCAGGCCTACTTGCTTGCCGCGGGGTTCCCACAGACGCAGAGACAGGAACGACCAGAAGCCGCCGGTTGCCGATGCTGACGCTCCTTGGATTTTCACCAGAGCCCTTGTTAGCCGGCGTGTGTGTCAGACCTGTCCGCCTTGGGTGGCCCTACCAGGAACGAAGTTCCGGGCAGCATAGCTCTGACACTACCGTTTACACCCCCCACCGACTGTGAGGTAAGGGTTGGACTTTGGGGCTTACAGTACCAGGTGTTCCCAAGCGGTCCCCCATCTAAGTACTGACCTGGCTCTACGATGCTTAACTTCGGTGATCGAACGAGAACCGGTGTTTTCAGCGTGATTTGACCGTAAGCAAGACAGGAAATACTGAGTATTTCCTACATGTTGGGAAGCAAGAAGCAGCGATGCATTTATTGTTGAGTTGTGAGAGAATCAGAGCCAGTTCAAGGGCACATTTTCTTAGAACAATTCCAGGGATATCTAATCTGCATGCCTTGTAGATATCTCCTTCAGAGATTGCCTTGGGTCCTTACCTATAACTGCAGAATGAACTCTTCCTAACACTATGTATACTATGCCTCTCAAGAGAGAGGGACGAATCGAGTCGATAGTAGTTCACTCCAAACCAGACTAACAGTCATATTAACCTTCGACATCTTGTATTATTATTTCGTGTAATATACCTTCGTTATTTCTACTCTTGTGTTCGTGTTGTTCTTCCTTGGTCCTAACCTTGACCATAATAGATAGATAGATAGATAGATAGATAGATAGATAGATAGATAGTGTCATGAGTCCTTACCTATAACTACAGAATGAACTCTTCCTAACACTATTTATACTACGCCTCTCAAGAGAGAGGGCCGAATCGAGTCGAGCCGATAGTAGTTCACTCCAAACCAGACTGACAGTCATACTAACACCTTCAACATCTTGTATTATTATTTCGTGTAATATACCTTCGTTATTTCTACTCTTGCGTTCGTGTTGTTCTTCCTTGGTCCTAACCTGGACCATAACAGAGATGAAAGTAGAAGCTATGGACGAAGTTATTTATATATCACTTAGAAAACAAAAAGTAAATAAAATCAAAGAAGTATGAAAGAAAACAAAAGAAAACAAGAAATCTAATAAGCAAGAAAGAAAATGGTGACCCCCACCCACCACCAAATTAAAAACAAAATATAGGAAAGAAGAAAAATAAAACAAAAACAAAAAAAAAAAACATCCTGCATTGATAAAAATATTTTTGCCGCTTTCTTCACATTTATTTTTTAAGTTAACCGTCGCCCAATTATAATACCGGTGTAATGGACTTGTGATTATCATTATTTCTTTGGGACAATCTTATTTACGTACCAATATATATATATTAGATGCCATATGAATCGAAATGTTTGCTATAATCATTAAAATGGTGATCTGTTCCTCAGAAAGATAGAAGCGGGATTTCGAAGAATGACACAATCAGTTGATTTGAAACAACTGCTTATATCCACTAACATTTGTCGCCTCTAGCTTGCTATAATTACAAATATATAACGAGAATAATACTACCCGCAAATTATTCAGTATGCATTCTCCTAACGAGCCTTTAACTTCAAGATATCGTTATAGCCAAGTTTATAGGCATAACATCAATATATTTTACCACATTAAAATTTGGCGATCGATGTTGTTTCCAAAGATTGAAGAAGCAATGATAATATGCATGTAATTAATTGATTTGAATAGATGGTAAATAATCCCTATGTGACATCGCCCCGGGACCCTAAAATTAGAAACATTAACGTGAAAGGTGCACTTTACTACGAAGCCTTCGGGGCGTCTTTCCCTAACGAGCTTTTTCGCCAATCTTTAGCATGTAAATGTAATTATGGCTGTTTTCCTTCTTGGAGATCTACAGCATATATGAAGATAATTCCGTGTAAATTAAATGGTTTAAGCAGTAAGAGCAAATATAGCTTTTCCAACATTGACTCAGAGTTTTTTTTTTATCTGATTTATCTTAGGCAAGGTAGTAAAGCCACTAAGACACAAATAGTCATTGGATATGGAAGGGTTAGAAAACAGACATATTACAAAGGAAGGAGAACAAAAGAATTGTAATCAGGAAGACAGTAGATAACGATTGAAATTGAATTTACATTTTTGAAGATTAAAGTAAACTCGAACGTATAGAACCAGAAGCGAGTCCCACAAGCGAGAAGTGTGAGAAAATAAACCGTTAGCATAAAAAAAAATCTTACGGTTACATCTACCCAATTCAACTTTGAATTGATGAGACCTTGTTATCAATCTAGTACTGCGCTTAAATTTATAAAGTCTAAGTAAAATATCGAAGTGTTTTTTCGAACATTTTACCATGAACATATTTATAGAAAAGGCACAGAGAATTAACTTCATGGCCATTGTAAATTGACTGAAGATGAGATGCCAGGTTATGACCAATTATTTTGCGGATTCTTCTTTGGAGTTATTTCACGAATCACTAAATATAAAGTCCGGATCTTATGTGATATTCTAAGCATGGTCGAATCCTAGTCTTATAGAAAGGTAATATCGATTCAGAAGAAGAAGAAGAAGAAGAAAGAGGAGGAGAAAAATACGAAAAAAAGAGGAGGAGGAGAAGATGAGGAGGAGGGTATAAAGAAGAAGGAGAAGAAGAAGAAGGCGAATGAGGAGGAAGAGAAGAAAAAGGAAAAGAAGAAGAAGAAGAAGAAGAAGAAGAAGAAGAAGAAGAAGAAGAAGAAGAAGAAGAAAAACGCAAGCGGTGGGAAAAATATTGTAGGTAATACTAATTTATCTCCGATATTTTTGTGATGAGGGCTTATTATTATCATGCGGACTATTGTCCTCATCTTTGCTATTGTTATCACAACGTTTCAGACATTCTGCCCTTTGGTCTTTAACAATTGCTTATCGATTCATTTAAGTGAAGCATTGGTGAGTAAAAGTATTGTTTCGATTATTGAAGCCCCAATTCTTTCAAGAGTAGCCTTGATTATTCAAGCAGCAACGGAGCTCTTCACCAAATAGTTTAAGGCACCATGTTCATCATTGCGGTAAAATAGCGTTGTGGGATGAAGTGCTGGTTCGTGAATTTGGTAACAGAGTTATTGTGAGTTCAATCCTTAGGGAAAAACTAAGCGCCCAATAACTGATCAGCAATAAAATAAGCCCTATACGAAATATCACTTGATAGGATCAACGGAACGAGAACTATCTATATCCAGACATTGAATAGAGGGTTCAGTTCGACATTCCCTGAAGGTAACCTCGATTGACAAGCACCTAATGAAGGCCAAATCATTCCGATAACAACAACAAAGATGAGGACAGTAGCCCGGCGGTACATAATGTAAATAAAAAGAAAATTATTCAAGAAATTAATCTATTAGATTCTAGGAATGTTATGTAAATATATAGAAAATTATTGCACCATTCCATTTTTTAGGATAAATCAATGTTAACAATTATTAGTCACTAGCTTAAAAGAAACTATCGTGTGGCAATTACATTAGCTCCAGCGGAGTGCTCTTGAGTGCGCCTTTGGCTTATTCAGGAGTTTGAGAGTCCCTAAGTCTTTGCATTTTCTCAGGGATTGAAGCTCTCCTGGTTGCTGTTTGATCTGGGTTTCCATTTGGGCGGCATTTTCTTTTCGTCGCTGCAACCTTGACTGTAAAATTCTGTGTGTCAGGCACACTGCCTTTGTATGCGATGGGCAATGATAAAATACAGAAGAATACAAAATTGATCGGTAAATTTAAATATTGCATTAATATTTAAGCTTACCTTTTAAAATTTCAACAATAATTCTTCTGCCGCCACTCAATTTAAAGACAGTTGTATGGACGTAAGTCGTTACTTTCCGTACAAACAGATATTTTTATTTCATGGGTGATTTTCGCCTGATTTTCCAATTAATTTCGATTATTCCCAAATCTATTTCCAAGTTACAGAAATTGTTATAATATAAAAAAATTTAAACATCACGTAAAAAATATCGCAGTAATGAAAACTTGGGAATCCAAAATTTCATGATTGTGGTTTTATCTTGAAATACTGTAATTTGAGAACAGTATTTTTTTTTCATTTGAACATGAGCTATTGTAAGTTAGAGAGTTGTGTCCCTTTAATTTTTTATCAGCAGAAGCCAAGATGGCGGAATCCGAAATCAATCGAAGTAATGAATGCTAGGGAAACCAAAATTTCATGATTGTGGCTTTATCTTGAAATATTGTAATTTGAGAACAGTATTTTTTTCCTTTGAACATGAGCTATTGAAAGTTAGAGAGTTGTGTCCCTTTAATTTTTTTATCAGAAGAAGCCAAGATGGCGGAATCCGAAAACAATCGAAGTAATGAAAACTTGGGAAACCAAAACTTCAGGAATGAGGATCCGGATTCAGCCCGGAATGTTTTTAATTTTCTCACGGAGTCGGACTGATTCCAAAATATCATGATATGTTGGGCAAAGGCGTTTAGGAGTAAAGGTTGAAAAAGTCTGGCACGCTGACATTCGCATTTATTTATATATATATATATATATATATATATATATATATATATATTGTTACGAGGATGCATTTCTATAAAAATAATAAAAAAAGGGATTCTACTGAGTCCTACTTGTTAATACAAAACGTTTTCGTTCATGAAGTAGTTGTAAAATAGAGAAATTAGAAATAGAACGCTTAGAAGATTCTAGATCATTCGAGAAAAATCTAGATGATTCAAGAAACATCTAGAAAAATGCTAATTAGGTGCTAGCCCCTATAAAAATAGGTCTTTGAAAAAGAGTTGTCAGTTGTAAAAGGGAATTTCTGCCATTATCAACTCCGGCTTGTTGATTTGAGGATTAATATATCAAGCCGAAAGAATCTCTAAGAAAACGGGCTGACCAATAAAAATCCAAGAAGAGAACTTCATGGAACAGATCTGGTAAATAGAATTTTGACTATTTTCATTGACCAAACTACAAATTAATTTATATCTACTCACATTAGTGGATTTCCAGTAATAGCACTTCGATTTCTTTGCTAGCCCTAACGTGGTAAAGATACTTGACTCACCTTCCTTCTCCTTTGTAACACTTTGCCAGTAAACTCTGTTTTCTGTTTTGTATGTCACAATTGTATATCTTGCATATATTTTATCTTGCGTTTTTGTAAATTAAATATTTGTTTCTGATTTAGCACTGTGTTTTTGTAAATCATTTTTTTCTTTGTTACAATTTCCAACACGTAACAGTATGCCTATTTTTACATTAATTTTTGATTCATTATTTGGTTTTATTAAAACTTTACTTGTGGCGAGAATCTATGGCAGTGAATCTGCAAACGAGCATTTTATTTCCAGTAGGCGTTGTGCAATCACAGCAGGGTTGGTACCCAGTAAAGTTATAATAAAAAGAAAGTAAGAAATGGAAATGACAATGAAGAGAGAGTGATATATATAGAGAGAGATGATAAAACTAAGATAGATAGATAGATAGATAGGAACAAATAGGAAGCTAGAAAGATATGAACGGAATTACAGATAGATAACGAGAGATATATGAACAGAATTAGATAAATAGAACGATATACAGTGTGCGATGGGGAAATTCTCGCCATTTTATATTTTTAATTACGTGCATGTACATTTTGTTTTGTTTTTTTTTATTTTATCAACTCCAAAGTATCGTTGGGTCAGTTGGGCACCGTCTATCAGAAACGGTGTACCATGACTCAATTTACTGCGCCACAAATTTGGAAACTGCATGCTGTACGGATAGGCATTTGCACAGGAAGCTCCAATACGACCATAGTGTTTGGGTATTTATCTGGGGATAGAGAAGAGGATTCGAATGGAATCGGAAAGAGTCTAATGACGATTACGAAGGTACGACGGCTCGCAAAACTCACTCCGATCGTTCTGGTAAGAAAAGAACGCCCACATTTGTTGGCGAAGGCCTCAAAATCGACATGGCGGTCTACTTTAAGTTCCCTGAGGAATTAGTTCTGCCCTGGGTCAAGAAGGTGGCTGTTGGAAGTTCCTATGCCTAGCAACAGGATTCTGCACCATGCCACGCAAGGTGGGGAACCTCTTCCTGCCTGTCAGACAATTTCTGCGACCACATCTCACATCTGTTCCCTTAACTTCCCAGACTGCAAACCCATTAATTATTATGTGTGAGACGCTGTTAAGCGAGAAACGAACAAAACTCCTTGTTACAGCAAAGAGCAACTGAAGGCAAAGATTATGGCAGCATTCACCAACTTAAACAAGGAGATTATACGGAAGTGCTGAATGAGATCCCGAAGTCATCTGGAGGCCGTGGTTGAAGGCAATGGCTATTTTATTGAATAAATTTAATCTTTCGTATTTCAAGATATTTTTTGCAATTTTGATGAATAAATTTGTTAAAATAAAATGTTAGTGTTATTTTCATTTTTGCGTAATTTAGACGACAATTTATCCCTCACACCATGTATATGAAAAAAATTTAGATAGAACAGAATAAGATAGATAGATAGATAGATAGATAGATAGATAGATAGATATGGAAAATCTATAGGAAGAAATAAGGGTTTTAAAGAACTGCGTTATAAAGAACTTAGATGCCATGAAAAATTGAAAAATAGTTTCCTTGATAGTGTGTCTTAATTTATTATGCAAATCACATAAACTTTAATATCTCGAATTGCTTTAAACAAATTTAACTTTAAGCGATTACTTTACACGCCAAAAGAAAGCTTGATTTCAATTTTTAGGTATTTTCACTATGTTTATTAAAGCTACAAGATTTCTTATAAAACTGTAGTCTGAAATTGTTATTCAGATTAAACTAATAATAGTCGAAGGCCTCTAATAAAAAAAAAAAAAACAACTATTTTTTTTCTTTTTTCCATAATACATGTTGAAGCATGGTTAATGGAAAGGATCTAACAAATGCTGAAAAAACAGAAAATAACAAGGTTACTGAGTGAGGGAATGTCTACATTGGTAATGTCGAAGGAGCTTCTCAGAGATCGATTAAGATGGCTGTTGAAAATGTAATTAACTTGTGAACTAGAAGCAAACCGAAAGGCTTTAAGGACTTGTCTACACGAGGGGAATCTAAAGTAAAAACGAATTATATGCGAACCAACCACTTTTGACCAGTGCTTAGAACACGAGGGAATAGAGTGAACCAAGAAGGACAAATAGTGGAGAATACTTTGCAGATTGAGATCTGTCAAATACAACCTAGGTAAACTAGGTAAACTCCTTTCAGTAAAGCAAATATGTAAAGCGCCAAAATAATTCAAAGAAATACATGAGTATTGACCTTTCTAAAGTAATTTTTATAGACAAATCTCGGGTGACACGAGATAGACATGATGGATAGGCCAAAGTTTGGATTCTTTATCATGCAAATTCGACTGTGCCTAAAACAAGGAATCACGGAGGCGGCAGTGTGATAATATGGGTTGGAGTATTTAACTAAACCATTATTGAACCATTATATATCAATGAAGGAATTAAACTGAATAGTGCTAAATATTGAGATTACATGCCTTTGAACGATACCACTGATATGTTCGTATGTTCAAAGTGAATTGTGTGTTTATTTATTACAAGGCTTTTTCTCATGAATCTAAAATTTCTCGTGAATTTCTTTTGCGTAAAAGGTTTACAGGAGAGAAGGTAATGGACAAGCTACTGTCAATTCTTGTTTTGAATTCGATCAGTTGTGAAATTGTATGAACAGGCTGAGATAGATAGATAGATAGATAGATAGATAGATAGATAGATAGATATGATCAGACTGAAATAGATAGATAGATATTATCAGAAAGATATAGAGATAGACATGATCAGACTGAGATAGATAGATAGATATGATCAGACTCAAATAGATAGATAGATATTATCAGATAGATATATAGATAGACATGATCAAACTGAGATAGATAGATAGATAGATAGATAGATATGATCAGACTCAAATAGATAGATATTATCAGACTGAAATAGATAGATAGATATTATCAGATAGATATATAGATAGACATGATCAGACTGAGATAGATAGATAGATAGATAGATAGAGAGAGAGAGAGAGAGAGAGAGAGAGAGATATGATCAGACTGAAATAGATAGATATGATCAGACTGAAATAGATAGATAGATATCATCAGATAGATATATAGATAGACATGATCAGACTGAGATAGATAGATAGATAGATAGATAGATAGATAGATAGATATGATCAGACTCAAATAGATAGATATTATCAGATAGATATATAGATAGACATGATCAGACTGAGAAAGATAGATAGAGTGATAGATATGATCAGACTGAAATAGATATGATTAGACAGAAATAGATAGATAGATATTATCAGATAGATACATCGACATGATCAGACTGAGATAGATATAATCAGGCTGAGATAGAGAGAGAGAGTGAGAGAGAGAGAAAGATAGAATTTGATGCATTTTTTACTATATATGTTTCTGCTGACATCATCCTACTCCCAAATTTACTATCACAAATCCTGATGTGTATCAAACCTCAAACGATTAAATTGAAAAAAAAATAGTTAAGTACTATAATTTCTATGTGAATCATAGACTTTTGCGAGAGACAGTTGCACACATTCAATAAACTAATCCGCGATTGCTTAGTGGTGGAAAACTAATATGATTCAACATTACACCAATAAGTAGGGAATGTATATTATAAGATAGATAAAGGGGTTTTTTATGGTCCCCAAATTACAACAATTCTTAAGTTATTGTCGTCTAATTCCCCACATTGCCATTAGCTCCGTTTTCCTTTGATCACCTTGATTAAGTCACTGGAATATATATATATATATATATATATATATATATATATATATATATATATATATATATATAATATTATATATATATATATATATATATATATATATATATATATATATAGGAAATGGATCTTCCTCTCCCCGATCCAGCTATGGGTAAAATAGCTCCCTCCAGGACAGACTGAGTTCTATAGCCTTGGATGGCAACTGGTCTAGGAGAAGGGACAACTCTGAATTCAAAACCTGCGGAAGGTCGTTTGGGAACCTTGTGGCATTCAGTGCACCAGGTCTCTTTATTCGGCCCTTCAAAAGTGTGGATGGTCCTGCACGAAGCCTTCACCACTATAATCAAATCTCATGTGCCGGTGTCGGGCTGACGGTTTCCTGAAACTGATCTGCTTGACCCTCATACGTCGAATCTCGACGGCAGAGTCGATTATATATATATATATATATATATATATATATATATATATATAGAGAGAGAGAGAGAGAGAGAGATAGAGATAGATAGATATAAGTTAAATTCCGTACATAGCCAAAAGACTGACAATTACTGAAATCTGAATTAATTCAGCCCTGTGACATTGATACAGAAACACTCTAAATTCGAGCCTGTGAAATGTGCAAGATTAATTCCATCAAGAAAGAAATCGTGTGATTTATTCTTGTGTCTCCCGTTCCCAGAAGGCATTGTACAATTTACCCATTTGCGCCGAGAAATAATTGGTTCGAATGACGATGGAAGTCGCAAAGGATTTGCGATAGAGGAATGCCAAGAAAATGTTGTATACAATTTGCTTTCTTCTATTTCCTGTTCATTATCCGGGAGGAAGAAAAAGTATTTTTCAGGAAGAGGTGAATAAAATTTCTTTAGATAGACATAAAAACTTTAGAGAAACACAATCAAAATTACGGAGTAGATTTAAAAGGACATTGATCATTTATGGAAATACTATTATACATATATATATATATATATATATATATATATATATATATATATATATATATATATATGTATGTCTGTCTGTCTGTCTTTTTTCCTCTCCTCTCTCTCTATATATATATACACACACACACACACACACACACACATATATATATATATATATATATATATATATATATATATATATATATATATATATATATATATATATACAATGATAATAAGGAAACGGAAAGCTTTAACTACCCATTTCGCTTATAGTTTTTATTTCGTGAACACCGAGATGCTCAGCTAATCAGAACGAAAACTTCTCCCTTATAAAAAATTATTAAAATTATAAACAAAATGAATAATTAAAGTCTCCGTCTTATTATGATTATTATAATGTTCTGTAATCTACATTGAGTTCTCCCTGGATGTATATCCTCCTCGGAATTATCCCTTCCAGTCACAAACTGGTAAAACGTATAATTATATATAGTGGTACAAAAGTATATGCTGTTCATTAGTATAAGTATTTATACAAAGATGTGCCTTGTTATTTATTACTGCAGCAACGCACATCTTTGTATAAATAAATAATCAACAACATATGGTTTTGTACCACTTGCAACCCTGAAGATGATCATGGAAAACGATCGAAAGTTCTTGGGGAATGAAAATATAAGAAATTTACACAGCTATATAGCACATTTCTCTTATCACTTTAACATCAATACAAAGAAAGTTGTTCGTGAGTATGAGCGGATTTTATTAAAAATTAGCTGTAATTTATTCCATCAGACATGCCTACAAGAGTATTTGCTGATATCTATCTATCTATCTATCTATCTATCTATCTCTCTCTCTCTCTCTCTCTCTATATATATATATATATATATATATATATATATATATATATATATATATATATATATATATTAGCAGATTGGGATAGATAGAACAGTGAATAAAAACTAGATATATAGACGATGATATAGTCCAACTTGTTCTAACACCTTCGCATGTTTACTATTGTTAAGGACATAATCCTGATAAAACAATTATACTTTATAAACCGAATCTATCGAGTTAACTGAAATGGATTGATAGATAGATATGAACAGATTGAGATAGATAGATAGATAGATAGATAGATAGATAGATACTGATCTAGAAATGAATAGAATGTGAGTTATATATATATATATATATATATATATATATATATATATATATATAATCATGAATAAGAAGATGGGTCTGGTACATGTTGAAGGGATAGCGTAGGCAGCGAGACAGTCACACCCACAGGAGGATGCGTGTATATATAGCCTGGATTCAATCGTCCAGAATGGCTTCTTTCTTGTGTGTTATTTTATTTTACTCCTCTTTATTTCTTAAATTGGAATTTCCATCGAATTCCTATGTATGGTAGCAGTAGATAATGCCCAGTGATAGCGCCTTTTCACGTAATTCTGTTTTTTTGATAATGTTAAATTTAACAGTGGCAGGGAATACAATGTTACATCCTTTAACCCCTGATACGTTTAGTCTTCATATATGTGCGAGATTGTCTCGGTACCAAGATCTCAAACCGGTACGATATTTCTAACTCAAGAAGTTCTGTTGCCTTGATTTCTGGATATACGAGACACATTTACTCAGAGCATCAGGCGTTGTTAGATTATTTGTTCCTTCATTAAGAATGCTGGAGCTACACGTTTTCTCGGGCTTTATCTTCCTGATATTAAGGGATCCGAACCTTTGAGTAGGCTATCAACAGGTGTATAATATCGGGGCTATTGTATTACCATTTTGTGAATGAGTTTTACACCGTGAAGTAGACTATGATGCGGCCTCTCGATGCCATGATGAAGCGTATTAATACAGCTTTATATTAGAGCGGATGGTTTTTAATTTCTTAAGAAAATCAATGTCGCACTTCATAAACAATCTCGGGTTTGATGTGACAAGTCTAAAATATATACAAAAATAACTAATTTTTTCCGCAGGTTTTTGCTTAAAAACTGACTCCAAACGATCACAATTTCAAGAATATCCAAATACAGTTAATATCTTTTGTATAAGATACATTGAATGAAAAATATATTAAAACCAGAATTCTGATTATGAATCACCAGAAGCAAAACATGCAAGTCTTTTACTATATTCGAGAGTTAAAAACGCTTTAAAACATTGTAAATGATTACAAAAAAGGCTACTCAGTGAATAAAATTTCTTAGATCCTTTTTTTTGATCATGATTAATAAAGTCCTAAAATATATAAAAGTGTATATAACAACATAATACTACTAGGCGTAAATGATAAATCAAATTGTTTAACATTTGCATTGTTTACTGAAAATCACTTGAAAACTACAGCAATGTAAAACATATTACATAATAATATAACTAAATGTTTCAGTATAATCTCCCATGAAGTAAATGAATACAGATAGCATAACGAAATCAACCGATTCGAACACGGGTTCTAAATCCACTCAGCCACGCATCAATTATATATATATATATATATATATATATATATATATATATATATATATATATATATATATATATATATATATATATATATATATATATATACATGAAACATGGCTATTAATGTGAAGCGAAAAAACATATTTTAAACTAGTTAATTTATAATATTAATGTTTCGTAAATTTGCATTGAGCACTATTTTGTAAAAATAAAAATATCAATAAGAACAATATATATATATATATATATATATATATATATATATATATATATATATATATATATATATATGTGAAAATATTTAGAAAATAGGAAGGAACTGGTTAGGTAAATAATCCAAAGTCCCTTAGTATTTTAGTTATTATTTTTAAAAAATAGTGCTCGATACAAAAGTAGAGCATAAATATAATTATTTATTTAAAAATATGATTCCAAATCGCGACATAAGAAGTCCCATGTTTCAAAACAAGAGCCGAAAACTTCAATATAAATATTTAAATTATTTAAATTATTTAAATTAAATTGAGTTAAAATAAGCTCTCTCTCTATATATATATATATATAGTCAAAACTAAAAACGTCGTAATTTTTTTTAATTTAAAAGACTCTCATAAATATTTATCAGGTTAACTGAAAAGTTTAGTTAAATTATGGAAGATGCTAAGTAACTTAAATTAATTTCTAATAAACGAAAGTGTATAAATTATTTTGTTGCATTCCTTTTTCATGAACTTAATATTTATATTATTTTAATATGCGATAAATTTATGTATTATATATTTTACATGACAAGAGGTTATGAATTAAGCCGTTTGCTTTTAAATTTTTTATCATTTTAATAGTCAAGTGTGTCGGCTTGGGAAAGACGTAATGCTTTCAGGAATGTAGATGTTTGAAAGATTCCCGAACGCAGATTATATTGAGATTGATATTTTCATATTAATGCCTAATGTGACACAAAACAAACGTTTCTATTCACTAAGAATCTAGATTGGCGGTGTTTGCTTAAGTATGAATTAGAGATGCTAATGAACTGCAAATTTCTCTTTAAAAGGCGATGAGAAAATAAACAACCACAAGTCAGTTAATGTATAAACGGCGTCGTATTTACAAAAAGACGAACTATTTACATGCATCTAACTCTTCTTATTCGCCTCTCAATTGCGCATGCGTCAACTGACAGAAAAACATACAGAGAAATAAATGCTCTTTAGAAAAGAATCCTATTTCTTTCCTTTTTGGAAATTAAATTATTATTCAATGAACGAAAACGAACTTTAGAATAACAAAGTGTACAAAGATTTAAAGAAAAAAAAAATGAAAATGTTGGAAAATTAATTGAAATCATTCGTTGGAAATTAAGCGCTCAATGGTAGAAATCTTTGCGTAAATTAAGGTTGAAACGAACGCGTAAAAACGTCGATAATTTGCAGCTATTGAGGCTTTGATGAAAATGAAAATCTATTGAATATGCAAAAGAAAATTAGAAAAAATAGAAATTCAATATATTCCTCGTTTTATGTATCCATCAATGATTAAATAAGGAGCAAATAGAAACATGTTTATCCGTCTGACACGCTTCGCTATTTGGCAGTTGCATCAGAATGTTGGAAAAATGAGGGGAAATTTTAATACTTCAAATCCCATGGAGTTTGTTTTCATTGGTCTTGTAGATATTACATAGTTATTATTTTGTTGCGTTAGTGCGTCTCTCTCTGTGTGTGTGTGTGTGTGAATTCTAGTGGTGTTTTTTTTGTGGGGGTGTATATGGTAGACTCTTTGTGTGTGTGTGAGTGTGTCAGACTGTTGTGGAAATAAGTGGAAAATATCTTAGAGATTTCAATACTTCGAATCCTATGCAGTTTGTTTTTATTGGTCTTGTAGACATCACATATTTAGATTTTGGTGAGTGTATGTGTTTGGGGGGTGAATTGTAGTGGCCATATTTTGTGTGTGTATCTCGTAGTATGTATGTGTGTGTATATGAATTATAGTGGCCGTATTTTGTGTGTATCTCGTAGTGTGTATGTGTGTGTATGAATTACAGTTGCCGTATTTTGTATGTGTATCTCGTAGTATGTATGTGTGTGTGAATTATAGTAGCCCAATTTTGTGTGTATCTCGTAGTATGTATGTGTGTGTGTGTGAATTATTCTCGCCTTTTTTTTTTGTGTGTATCTCGTAGTATGTATGTGTATGTGAATTACAGCGGTCGTATTTTGTGTGTGTATCTCGTAGTATGTATGTGTGTGAATTATAGTGGTCGTATTTTGTGTGTGTATCTCGTAGTATGTATGTATGTATGAATTATAGTGGTCATATTTTGTATGTGTATCTCGTAGTATGTATGTGTGTGTTCGTGTGTGTGTAATTCTAGTGTAATTCTAGATAGTAGCTAGAGGAAATTGTAAGTGTGTTTGTGTATCAGGAATTGTTTGGCAAATATTTTCCTTCTCAGATGTTGGCCAACAATTGTTATCTTAATGCAAGGGGAGATTTTAAATGTTCATTTAAAAAGATTTTTTTCCAAAAATACATCTTAAATAAATTATTAAATTTCATTGATAATCAAAATCGTTACGAATTAAACGACATAGCAAATACTGAGAAAACATCTGATTTAGAGAAGAAATAAATGGAATTATGGGATATAATCTAATCTGGTCAAAGGTCGGGATGTCAGTTGGTGTTTCTTTGGGAACGATTCACCGCAATTAAAATGGTATAGCTCTTGTTACTGGAATATGAATGAGACGAGCACAATAGGAAGACCTGTAATGGTTTCTGGCATACTGTTTAGTTATATAACACCTGCTTCTGTCATTCAGTTATTTAACGAAGGTTTACCGTCTGCTACGTTGCGTGAGAATTCCTCATCTTGAAACTTGGTGATTAATTATTTTTTACTGCTTATCAGACATTTCAAGGTTATTTAAATCCACGTAAGTTTTTGGAGGTTGTAAGGCTTGCTTAAAAAAGAGGTTTGTGGCACTGTTTTATGAAAAGGTAAACTACTAATATAAGCATGAATACATTCGATACTATTAAAATATTAAGTGGATTTTGTTTTACGACATCCTTTATTATTATTGCAAATGTTAATTTTCGTGGGTACCCATGTTTAGTTAACTTCCCTGGTTTTTCTTAATTTTCTTAAACAGTAAATTAATGTCGAACGGCTTTTATCGAGATTCGACTATTCCTGTCGACAGGTAGATTTTTCTGACGTGGGATTTCTTCATCTAGGCGGGTTGCCATTAATTTCACTAAGAAAAACGGTGGGGCAACTCAGACTCATCTATTCAACCAACGATAACACTTATACAGGGATCCCATTAAAAAGCAGCACAATCATTATCACTGTTTTAACTTTCACGTATAATGAACATTGAATAAGCTTGAATAAGTTTCTTGAATATTCATTAGACTCTAGAGTAAATACTTAAATCTGATTGGTTCTTTTATGATTGATTAATTGCTGCTCGATCTTGTGATTTAAATGATATTTGCAGACCACTTTCATCTTTCGTTCTGTCCTTTTCATATGGATAAACAACTCACTGATTTGAATTATCGTACATTTCAAAGAAGAATCATCCGACATCGGTATTGTAGAAAATTGTGGAAATTCTTCTTGAATTTTTCAGTCACATGAGTCGTCACCAGTTTTTAATGCTTCTCTCATGTCTTTCTGAATTTTCCACTTTTTACTGGGCACCCTATAATTATATTTTAATAGTGTATATAAAATGAACGTTGATCGAAGGAAAAACAGGAATTAAAATTACGCAAACGTATCGCCTTATTTTTCTGGTAAGTGCTACTCTCAAAATAATATTTTTATTAATTTTTTTCTTTATTAATCAATTAATATAATAATTAAATTATAATTTTTTGCCCTTGAAAATTAAACTATTTGTTCTTCGAAAGCGTGAGGGTTATTGGCGCTGAAAATGCACTCGTTCACTCATTCCGGGCTAGTCACCTGGGATCATTTTTGCACAAACGTTCACCTCTTTACGCCATTGCCAGTTATACGAGGTCCGTCTGAAAAACAAAGGCACTGGATATACTGTGTGTGCTGTGGACGAAAGAGAGATAAACGGATCGTGCTATGGTCTAACAAGATATCTTGGAAGTATATAACTGTAATCTAGCTTTACGCAAACATTGCATTTCTTTAATCACATGCTTCCTTGGCAGGAATAATGGTAGCGGCTTCACCACGGAATTGCACCTGTTCACAACAGTCTGTATATCCGGCAGTTCCTGGTTAGAAAAAAAAACCCGTCGGACTCGGAACAGCCTCCCCATTCACCTGATCTTTTTTCTTCTGACCTTTTCACTTTTCCCCAAGTTCAATTGGATGATCAAGGGGGATGGTTTTTGAAGGCGTGTAGGCCACAAAGAGGGCATTAATAACGGAGCTGAGGGGAATCTAATAAGAATCCTTTTATCAGTGCATCGAAGCGTAGCAGAAAAAAATAAAAAGTTCCTTAGACACGATGGTGATTGTTTTGAACGGGAAATCATGTCGTTTGTTCCAGGGGATCATCAAGGTGACTCGTTTTGGAGGTATGAGGGCGATCAAGAGGGCCGGAAAGACGGAGCTGAGGCCGATCCAAGATGGATCCTTCTAGCAGTGCATAAAAGAGTGGCCGAGAAGGATGGAAAAGTGAATTAAGACTCGAAGGGATTTACATTAAAGGGGAAACCATGTAGTTTGTTGTTTAGAATTTAAATAAATTATTTGTGACACTAGCCCCGTTACTTTTCAGACATACCTCGTATGTTAAATAGAAGGGTAGACCGGGTTCTCTAACTTTAGGTATGAGCCATTGTAGAAGTTTATTCCGGATACTTGGAGAAGGCAACAGGAGAACACCCCGTTCTCTTTCCTACGACATCGTTGTAATTCAAAAATAATAGAACGATGATCGCCTGCACATTGAAGTGATAGTGTTCTTATACACATTGAATGGAAGATGTTCTTCACAGCGAGCGGATACACCGACGCAACCACACACACAGAGAGAGAGAGAGAGAGAGAGAGAGAGAGAGAGAGAGAGAGAGAGAGAGAGGGGTCAACACCGAGGAAAGAAAAGTAACTCCAACTCTGTAATTCGAGGAACACACAGTCTACCGCAGATCGTCGCCAATTACAATCTTTTCTCGACAGCCCACCTCTTGACGTTAATCCGTAAATACACGTCGAATTCATCAATATTCATCAGCTTAGAGTAGTACAAAGAACGCACTCGCGCATGCAAAACTTTCGCATTGCAAATGACCGTCTACATGCGAAGCACTGATGTGTTTTCGATTAAGGTATTTCGTCATGTAAAGGTATGAACCGTCTTTTCTCCTTCATCATCCAGATATGTGCTAAAAACCAAATCTATGTAGACTTCGGGGAGGAGTATCTAGTATAGGAGGAATAACATCTAATTCAGGACGATTAGAAGCCAACAGGGAAATATCTCCATTATCTTTCCGAAAAAAAAAACCGTGGAAATTACAGATAATAAAGTAAGTTAATATCTGGAAAATCACGCTCGCCTTTATGAAAGGACATGGAATTAAAAAAGAATTGAACGAAACTTTATATAAATTATCTTTTTTTATCCTTTTCTCTTTTAAAGTTTTGGCGTTGTGAATATGACAATGAAGATGAGGATAACGATCCGAGTAATCAAAATAATGCTTCGTGGTTTTTTTTTTTTTATAAAGGCGTAGTTTTTAACTAACTGTACAGAGTTAAGTTTCTTGTCATTTAATTTTACAACTACGAAGAAGAGAATACAAAAAAATGTGGGAGGTGCTGGAAGATTCGCCATTTCAACTCTTTAAGCTTCTGTGGTCTTGCGTTGTCGTGGTGGAAAATGGCGTCTTTTCGATTTTCAAAATCAGCCGTTTTTCTTGAATCCATGTTTGTTCAAATGGCGAAAGGAAGTTGAGATATAGATTTTTAAACTCTTGTCAATATCTTTTGTGCAAATCCTTGGTTTATTCCCCATGGTTTCAAGCAGAGCGTCTTCATTGACGTCAGAAGTTTTCTAGGAGCATGGTTGATTATTTAGGCTACCCTACCTTTGTCTTAATCTTCCCAACTACTATTTGATCTTCTAAAGTGGTGGAGCACGGTCCAAAGAAACGCTATAAATATTTTTGTCACAGTTCCGTCACTTAACTCTTTTCCGAAATTCATAGCCCATAATATGGCGAAAGTGAAACTTTTCATCCTCCATCTTAAATACAGTCATTTGAGCTCCATCTTAAATACAGTCATTTGTGGAGAAGACGTTAGCATTCAACAATGTCTGACTCACAGCTGAACGATGCAAGCTTTGAATCTAGAACATACCGGAAATTAACAACAAAACAGTTCAAGTTGCGGTCATTTTATATTAAAAACTAAATTCCGGCGCTAGCTTTTGCAATGATCTGATAGCTGTTCATGACTCATCGCTTTGGTTTGAAACGGCATATTCATATCCCTAATACTTATTTTCTGAATATCATCCTTCCGTTTTCCTACGCATTTTCGGGTTTCTCTGTCATACTGACCGTCATACTTTAGCAATACTTTCCGACATCTGCTGCTATAATATCAAAATAGTTTTAATCTTGAATAATCTCCCTTTATTAATGCATTTTGAATAATCTTGAATAATCTCCCTTTGTTATGCATTTTGTCTTCATAATAGTTACCGTTTTTTTATTAAGTTCCCAAAATATTCAAATTGCCTTTAAAATACGGAAAGCTCGCGCCACTTAGAATTTCAAGGTTTTATTTTCAAAATACCTATATAGAATATAAAGAAATTAAACATTGTATAATCTGTTCGAGTTGTAGTTTCAACAAATACCGCAATGTTAGCAAAAACCTTGAGTCGTTCAGAAATAGAGCCGTTGGAACGAGACATTCGTACTGATGCAATTCATGGTGCCAAAACCGTTCAACTATATATAATCTCTCCGCTGTATACAACGTGAATCATTTCTTAGTTACATAATGAGGAAAGATGGCTTGGGATACCTAGAGTACAAATTGAAGTTCAGAGGACCTGTGCAAGGCAAAGTACAACCTACATGGCGTGCTTGAACGAATGTTTAATGGAGCAGGGTTTGGTAGAGAAAGCAAAAAGAGGACATATATATATAAAAAAAAGTACAAAGGACAGGAAATTCTGTAGAGCCATGATAGCCAAAGTCCTAAAGGCATACGGCATATAGAATAAGAAAAGTTCTTAACGATTCTTTCGGACGACCGCAACAGAATCACAATGAAAGAACTATAGCAAATAGCAGAGGTCAGATCTCTTGATGATTTTCAACAAGGGAAACAAATGAAATGAAGAGTACATGTTACTCAAAGAGGAAATAATTAGATAATCAGAATGCTGATCTTTCGCACTACTTCAAACTAAATGATAAGAAGGAAAATTTTACCTATATAGAAAACAGCGAGGATAAAATTACCTACAATCTGCTGTTAGCTGAAACAAGAAATTTTAACGCCTTCAAAATGAGACTGCTTCCTGTTAATCATCTGAGAGATCCCTTACTGCTTTCCATCAATATGACTGATGCTAAACTCCAAGAGAAGTGTCTCCTTGCACCTTCTCGAGCTGATGTTCTCTGCTGAGATGAAGGGGAAAGATTATATTGAATCAATTGCTAATCTGCGGCTAGTAACATCTATTTACTGTATCGTGCTAGAACATTCTTTTCTCTCTAGAAACTATCTTACATATTTTAAACTCTACTCTTCATCCACGCTTTGAATATTGTTATCACAGATGGTCTGGGTCTTCTGTTTATAGATTCTTGTTAAAATCCAAAGAAGAATCTGATTTAACATCTCGGTTCCAATCACCGAAATAGTGTAGCTACTCTGTGCCTTTTCTATAAATACATTCATTTCTGATGAACATTCCGCTGTGGTACATAAACTTTATGAATTTAAACTCAGTAAAAGACTGACGCAAAGGTCTAATCATTTTACAATTGAAGTAGCTAAATGTAAGTTCTATGCTAACAATTTCTTTTCTCGTTCTTTTTGCTTTTTACTTTCCAGCAAACTTTAATCTATAAAACTTTTAATGTCATGTCAAATCATTATCTACTTTCTATTTGATTCATCTTTTATTTTTCTTGCTCGTTAATAAAGTTTCATTCTTTTTTCTTATTCTTTCGCACTCAGTAACGCCTTGTTCCTTAGTGACTTTTCTGCTGTGCTTGACTTGAAATGATTAAAAAAAATAATAGCAGTCAGTGGACATGAGAAACCTATTTTCCTAAAAAAATATTTTAGCAGAAAGACTTTAAAATTTCACCCGACACTAAGCCTGGATACTCGGTTAATGAATACCGAATGTTTTCTTCTAAGGAAACGGCTAATATTAATATTACCTTGTTCTGTGCTTGAAGAAAAAATATTAATCTCTCCTGAGATAGATTTTAATCAGAGGATGGGTGAAATTTCTAAATTTTTTAGTAGATTTACTTAGGATATATGGCAGACCTCATTGGATTTCGAAGACGAAAATAGAATTTCCTACACAATCACTATTTAACTGGAGTTTATATTTTGTGTAATGACTCGGTTTTTCGATAATAGCACAATAATTTGTTAATGGTTCATACGAAAGCTTATGCATTTCTGATTTCATATATAAATAGATTATCGTCGTAAGCTTTTGATGAAGTCTCTTTAGATTAAATATTATTAAATATATTCCTGCTGAAATATATAATTTATATCTTGCTTCGTGAATCGAGATAATTGCCCTTTTTCCCAGAAGCGTGTCTGCAACTGAACGAAGACTAGAATTTTAAATGCTTATAGATGGAAATAATTTCATACATGTAGAAACAAAAAAAAATAACAGGCGCCTATTTTGCGTTAGACCATTAATTCTAAAAGAGTGGTGAGTTAAAAACAAAAGGGTAATGCTATGACATTTCGTATTGCGAGAGGATGAAAAAATATTTTTCTTGTGCAGATATAATGGTAGCTATGAATATGATACCCGCTATATCAACAGGGTCATTGTCTTTGTTAGTAATTAACGTTACTACAATTTGGTAGTTGCAGCCTAATTATTTGTAAAGCAGATGACAAATCCTTTAAATTTTGATCTATTATCTGTTACACGTCACCCTAGTTATGGTTACATATTATGACTGACTGTCTTTTCAAGCCTTGCAAGGTAGAGCATCTTACAGCAATAAATCCTGAATTCAAAAGAGAGAAGTTTAATAGTAATTATATATATATATATATATATATATATATATATATATATATATATATATATATATATATATATAATATTAGTGGAAAATATACATACATATGCAAAATATATAAATACATATATGTATATTTTTCAGAAAAAAAAAATTTCAAAGAGGAAGAATCCAGTTAGAACTCAATGTTTAGGACAGAGTAAGGATATAATAAAAAAGCTTAAACACTAATATTCCATGGTCATAATTTATTCTATTGGAATCGTCAATACGATCCAATTCATCAGACCTAAAAATTCAAAAATGAAAACAGAAAAAAACACTCCAGAAGTGGAAACAGAATTTAGAGAAAGTGCAAATATGAGGAGGAAGGAGATTGAACCTTAATATATATATACCGGATCCCCAATCCTCATGAATACGTTGAACTCTATTGTAAGTGCAGGTAAAATACTGTCTAATTAGTCCAGCACTAAAAGTGGTTTACCTACTTCAGGCCGCTGGCGAGTATTTTGTTTTGTTGATGTTATAATGATTATCATTCCATTTCTAATCTCCGTTTTTGTTATTCCTGTTTCAGTAACCCTTTCCTCGTTACAATAGATAGATAGATAGATAGATAGATAGATAGATAGATAGATAGATAGATAGTGTTATATACCGGAGCAATGAACAGAAATGGGTATGTCCCAATCCTCATAAATACGTTGGACACTATTGTAATTGGGAGAGGTAGACTGTCTAAGTAGTCCAGATAGATAGATAGATAGATAGATAGATAGATAGATAGATAGATAGATAGATAGATAGTGTTATATACCGAACCTATGAACATTAATGGGTATGTCCTAATCCTCATGAATACGTTGAACACTATTTTAATTAGAGGTAATAGGCTGTCTAATTAGTCCACCACTAGCAGTGGTTTACCTACTTCACTCTGCTGGCGAGTATTCTATTTTGTTGGTGTTATAATGATTACCATTCCATTTCTAAACTCCGTTTTGGTTATTCCTCATCCAGTAACACTTTGTAGGTGACAAAAATAATAGTAATATTAGACGTTTCCTTATGAAGAAACATTCAACATTCATTGACCGAGCAACTTTTTTTTTACTGTGGTTTGAAATTTACGAAACCTTTCTTTTAAAGCAATTTTTTCAGGAAAATAGTTTTGTCAAGTTTAGTATCTCTGTTTTCTGTTTTTGTATTTATACCGGGTTTCCTTTCTAATCTTTGAAAATTTAAAACAGTGAGGACTATCAACATCTCGATTATGTCATTAGTTTCTATTCGAGATACATATGATAACTATTTGAGCTGTTTCTGTTATTAAAATCATCAAGTGATGTTATGTGGCACAATTCTTTGTTTGGAATTGTGTGGCGCCAGTCAACAATATTCGAAGACAAGAGGTCTATATGTTTGCCTCGCTCAAAGCCATTTTTAAAGACATCGAAGTTCGTCCATTATTAATTTTTTTTTATTTTTTGCCTTCTTTTTTTTTTCTTTTTTTTTTTTTAGAAAGATTGTCGTATCCCATTGGAAAGAGGTAAGTTCCAAGCAGAAAACCTCTTCCCGAGAAGCATTATTTTTCGAAGCAGACTCTCGAGATGATGTTTTCCTGATCCCTAAAATCTTAACCCCTAAGTTTAGGGTCAACAGTAATCTACCCAAAACATCCTAATAATCTACATTTACTTCCTCATCTCATGTCCATACAGCAACGGGATTTAGTCCCCCCTATACCTTGAATGGTTCTTGTTCTTTGTATTCTGTTAACATTCAGTTAAATAAAAACTTTACAATGTAAAATTCAGTGTATTTGAAACTTTTTTATACTAAATAGGAAGCAATGGCATTAAATTAAATATCCCACATTTCAAGAGAAAGCATTTTAAAATGTGCTTAAAATATTGAATATGTTTTAATCGAAATCCCCCAAAAAGAGGTCAAGAGCGATTAAAAATAGATACATTAAAGGACAAACAGAGTCAATCAGAAAACGGTGTAACAATTGGCAAAAATTAAAATTTTGAAAATAAAAGATACATTATTCGAAGGAGCCTTTGAAACAGAAGACTATTCAGGAAGACTGTGGATAACGATTGGAATAATAATTAAATTTTTTTGAAAATCAAAGAAGGATTTTGAAGACTGATCGAAAAGGGTGGTTCTCGAAGCTGGCCCTTTTGAAGAAATCGAAAGAAGACGCCTATCGAAGGCTGTCCCTTTTGAAGATGCCTACATCTGATCGGCTTTCGAAGGCTGGCCCTTTTGAAGACGCCTTCTTATCGAAGGCTGGCCCTTTTGAAGTCGCCTACATCTGATCGGCTTTCGAAGGCTGGCCCTTTTGAAGTCGCCTACATCTGATCGGCTTTCGAAGGCTGTCCCTTTTGAAGACGCCTACATCTGATCGGCTTTCAAAGGCTGTCCCTTTTGAAGCCTCATCTGATCGGCCTTCGAAGGCTCCCTGAAGTCGCCTACATCTGATCGCTTTCGAAGGCTACCCGGCTGTTTGAAGTCGCCTACATCTGATCGGCTTTCGGCTTTCGAAGGCTGCCCTTTGAAGTCAACCTACATCTGATCGGCTTTTCGAAGGTTGGTCTTTTGAAGACGCCTACATCGGCTTTCGAAGGCTGTCCATTTTGAAGACGCTAGATCGGCTTTCGAAGGCTGTCCCTTTTGATGGCTGCCCATTAAAAATAATCTTCATATGTATCCATTTTGAAGTCGCCTACATCGAAATCGCCAATTTGATATACTTGAAAGATGTTGAAATTCCCTTTGAAGTTTAAATTTTCTGCTTTAAAAAAAATAATCTTTATATGTACGTTGCATAAGAATAATGACATACTCGAGATATATTCCAAACGTTTTAAATTTTAAATGGAAAGACAGAAATGAAAAAGGAAAGACGATATAGCGATGACTCCTCCAGAGATACCATAGCGGTGAAATTTGTTTAGTAACCGCCAATTTAACACGTTGTAAAAAGCCTTTGTGACATTAAAGTCTGTCGCCGTGGTGATGCAACTATCATGTTATTGAATCTTTTTGTATTGAGAGTTTAAATCTTTAGCAGTTGAACTAGAGGAGCAACACCCATATTGTTTGCCTCTCAACAGTTTTTTTTTCTATAAATTGATCAACGCCTTGTTAATTTGGGTATATGCATAATCTTGGTTTTTAACAATATCGTTTTCCAAATTGATAATGGTTAATTATGTAATCGAGCCAAATTATTCCACTTTCTAAAATATCAATAGTGTCGTTTTTAACTCAATTTTAATACAATTAAAACAATGCCAGTTCCTTGTTGAAAGACAAACTATTTAAAATGTTCAATATGCTTTAATGTTATAATATTCTTGTAATCCCATGTTCCAATTCGTTGAACTTTCGTTCAAAAGTAATGAAAAAGGCATTAATTTGTTTTAGTTCTTGAAAATGTCACACCCAAACCGAAACATCGAAATAAGGATGAAAAATCAAAACATTTTCAATTCGCTAACGATGTAATTGGATAGTACTTATGTATTTTCTAACGACTTTAACAGTTCATAGCTATAGCACAACATACAAACATTCAAATAAATTTACAAACTTGCAAAAGTTTTATTTGTTAATTTGATAATGATATAATTGGATAATACTTATGTATTTTTAACGCCTGTAACAGTTTATAGCTATAGCGTAACATACAACTTTACAAAAAAAAATGAATAAATAAATAAAATAAAAATTCTAGAACGTTCCAAGGAGTCAGGATACTAATATGCGAGGGTCATTCAATAAATAAGGTGAATTTTTCGGTATAAAGACTTCTAATACAGACAGAAGCTTACTTTTCTTTTTTTTTTTTTCCTTCTTTTTCACATGGATTTAATTTCTTTTGCAGATTAACAAAGATGGCCGACCAAGATGAATGCTCCAGGATTGAACAGCGGTCAGTTATCAAGTTTTTGGTTGCTTAAGGGTGCAAACCAGTTGAAATTCATAGGAGAATGTCAACTGTGTATGGTGCCACATGTTTCAGCCAAAAGAAATGTCTTCAAGTGGGATAAATTGTTTAAAAAAGGACGGTGCAGTGTTGACGATGAAGACAGGCCTGGGAGGCCTACAGAATTGAGGTCTCCTGAGGTGATCGAATCAGTCAATGACCTCATTCAGTCTGACAGTAGAATGACAGTGGATGACATTTCAAGGACTTTGAGCTTATCTGTTGGGACAGCACACAAAATTGTCCACGATGAACAGTCAGAAGGAGTCATCTTGCATCATGACAACGCAAGGCCTCACACAGCATCCCAAACGGTGCAGACCATCAACGAGCTGGGCTGGGAACTGCTCCCTCATCCCCCCTTACAGCCCAGACCTTGTCCCTTCAACCTGTTTGGTCCCTTGAAAGCGTTCACGAGAGGCACGAAGTTTAAAAGTGACGATGAAGTCAAAAGTGTTGTGAGCGACTGGCTGAGACATCAGTCCAAAGATTTTTACGCTGAGGGAATATGGAAGCTTGTGCACAGATGGGAAAAGTGTGTGACAGTGCTGGGAGACTACATTGAAAAATAAAAAAAAGTAAGCTTCTATCTGTATTAGAAGTCCTGATACCGAAAAATTCACCTTATTTATTGAATGACCCTCGTATTTATATACTACAGTGTAACCCGGATATAAGAGACACGGATATAAGAGAAACCCGGATATAAGAGAGATTTTCTCTGGTCCCAAATTAGAGCGTGTGTTAATGTATATAAAATAGACCAAACCCGGATATAAGAGAAACCCGTATATAAGATACTTCGTTCTCCGGTCCCGACAACTCTCTTATATCCGGGTTACACTGTATTATTTAATCAAAGTTTCATATACAGTGTAACCCGGATATAAGAGACCCGGATATAAGAGAAACCCGGATATGAGAGATTTTCTATGGTCCCAAATTAGAGCCTGTGTTAATGTATATAAAATAGACCAAACCCGGATATAAGAGAAACCGGATATAAGATACTTCGTTCTCCGGTCCCGACAACTCTTATATCCGGGTTACACTGTATTATTTAATCAAAGTTCCATATACAGTGTAACCCGGATATAAGAAACCCGGATATAAGAGAGATTTTCTATGGTCCCAAATTAGAGCCTGTGTTAATGAGAAAACCCGGATATAAAACCCGATATAAGAGATTTTCTCTGGTCCCAAATTATATCCGGTTTAGCCTGTGTTAATGTATATAAAAACCCGGATATACCCGGATATAAGACCAAACCGGATATAGAAATTAGAGCGTCTGTGTTAATGTATATAAATAGACCAAACCTGATATAAGAGATATAAGATACTTCTTCTCCGGTCCCGACAACTCTCTTATATCCGGGTTACACTGTACTTTAGCAATTTCCTGATTTTTTTTTTAAATTAAGCTCAATTAATCCCGATCTTCATTAATTTTTAAAAGGATTCGTCGAATTATAATACAGGGAATCAATTATTTTACAAAAAGTGTTACCCTAATATGCAAATACGGTGTTACCCCTAATATGCATATACAGGGTTCAGTTCATTAATATTAACAATCAAAAAATAACCACCTTCCAAGAGCTATGCTTCCTTGGTTCTTTTCAGAACCTATCCATTTTTAACTTCACTTTTCAAAATAAGTTTTTATCTTTTAGAAGATCGAATGCTGGGATCTGTTAACGTTGAACGTTATCATTTAAAGTGTTTGAAATAGAACCACCTTCAACGGCCAAATTAGTTTTAGGTAAAGAGAAAGGGAGAAGGAAGACCAATCGGGGATACAACATTTTGAAAAGGAAACATGAAGACGA